TAACGAGTCTTAGTCCCCCCCTTCCCACCCCAGGGGGACGCGTAGTTGTTTATACCGACGCCCTATAGTAGGTTTTAGGTGGTTTTCTGCAGTATGACTAGCTCGTGGCTCGGGGTTCGTGGCAAACGCCTCTTTATCGACGTCATTTTTGCGACGGACATGCCGACTAGAGCCCCGGGGGGGGGGGGGCAATTTGGGCCAACACGTCATTTTTGCGACGGACATGCCGACTAGAGCCCCGGGGGGGGGGGTGCATTTGGGCCAACATACTCTGCGATAACTTTACAATTTATAACGTGAAATGGACAACTATCGTTTTTTTTAAAAAAAATTTAAATAAAGCTTTCAAAACTTTAAACAAATTATACGTTATTTATACTCAGTGACTTTTGAAAAAAAAAAACAACTGTCACGTAAATAAAAGTATTATATATATATATATACAAACTGCTCTAACCCTTTTGTCAAATAGAAACGAAACAGCAAATTGTTGGTCAACAGCATGCCTTCCGGCCATTTTTGTAGTTGTCATATAGTGACGTACTTGAAATAATATATTACCGGTTTAAATTGGTGCTCTGTATAAAACTTTCCAAAAGTTGAATTAAACTTAAAATCTGTGTGGCGCCGTTTATAGGTGCGCAACTGTTAAGCACTGGCTTCTAATATGAGAAATTAATCTCCTATTTTAATTTTATTTGGCTCGTTGTAAACAGTGCATAACAAAGGACGATACCACAAATTAGTTTGAGTGTAATTTGTCTTAACTAGACTTTGTTATTTGTTTTAACTAGACATTTTGTTACTTGTCTTAACTTTTGCTATTGTCTTAACGGCTTAGCTACACTTTTGTTTGTGTCAACTGGACTTTTGCTATTTCTCAGCACTATACTCTTGCTATCTTGTAATTGAACTCTTTTAATTTGCAGCTGCACTCCTATCATTATGGCTAGTATTAAATAGAAATTGATCAAAACTAGTTTTAAATTGTCTTAAAACTAGTACGACAAGCCGTTTAAAAAAAAAATGTAATTAATAACAACACAAACACACAAAAAAAAAAAAAAAAAAAAAAAAAAAAAAAAAAAAAAAAAAAAAAAAAAAAAAAAAAAAAAAAAAACAACCCCCCCCCCCCCCCCCCCACAAAAAAAACAAAAAAAAGAACAAAAAAAAAAACGAAAATAAAACAAAACAACACACACACGAAGGTAAAAAAAAACAACAACTACTGTTTAAGTTGTGAGTTACAAATACAAAAACTTATACTGTATAAATAATTAAATAATGAGTGCTACACCTGTAAATGAGGAGTGCTACACGTTGAAAATAATAAAATGAAGTATTTTGTAATAAATCGAAAAAAAAAAAAAAAAAAAGTTTGAATGCTAGCAATGTTCCCTTTAA